AAACCCCTCTGGGTTTTGGCCCCCCCACCTGCCTGTGCCCTTGCCCATGGCAGGACAAGCAGCAGCAGTGAGACCCCACAGTGCAGAGCCAGGAGCCGCATCCTAACCTAACCTAACCTAGCCTAGCCTAGCCTAGCCTAGCCTATCCTATAGCCTATACTATCCTATCCCACGTCACTGCTCTGCCTACAGACGCCTCCCCTTATATCCCCACTCTCTGCCCCAAGGGAACTCAGCTGCCTCCTGCCAGATCCCCCCAGGAGCTGGAGCACCGCACTCTGGCCCCTGGCTCCGATAAGAGAACTGGTTACAACTGGCCCCACAGGTAACTCTCCAGGAGAGGGGGAACCGCTGAATGCAACAGCTCCCCCAAGGGAGAGAACTGCCCGAAGTGATCTCCTTCCCCCGGCAACACTCATTTCCTCGGTGATTTCCTGCCACCCCCACCACTCTCCATCACTGTTAGGGTAGGAGCTGACACAGTGAAAGGATCTCCCACTTTCTGCCTGTTTGCTCTCTCCCACATCTGCAGGCACACAGGAGCTGTGGGCTGGCCCAAGCAAGGGGCTGATTTCCCCTCCCGAGGGGCTGAGAGATGGATCATTTCTCTTCCATGAGGGAGAAAAAGAGGAAGTGGGGAGAGCTGGATATTCTGCTCTATCTGTAGCAGATCCCAGCAGCTTTTTCTTCTTTATATACATTGTGATGCTATGTGAATAGACCAAGTCCTGAGATTTGGTTTTAGGAGATTTTTCTTCCTTGCAAGTTGATGTGATGATGGTTCTTGCCTTCTTCTGGCATTGTCTGCAAACCCTTCCCTTAAAGAGCACTACCCTTGCGATGGCCTAAGTCTGCCTTGAGCAATGGTATTGCTAGCTGACAGCTTTACTATAAAAGTTACTTGCTCCAGCCATGCCTTGGCTACAGCAGGGAGTGAATGCTCTGCAGTCACCACCACCTCCCTTTGTCCCTTCATCTTACCCATAAATGGTGGTGTATTCTGTTCCTCATAGCGCGGGCTGGAGTGAGAAATTCCTATGGAAAAACTGTTCTTCCCAGAAAACCCAGGAACCTTGCTCAGAAGAAGAGATTTTATGGATCTTTTGATTTAGGCTTCCCAGGCAAAAGTGTTTGAATTACCAGTCTGCTTACTGTAACAGGCAGTGTATTTGTATGAAACTTTCTCCTGTTTTGCCTCAGAGCTTTACAGCTGTTTCTCATTACTTTCAGGCAAAATTTTGGCTTCTCTCTTCTGTGAATGACCCATTTCAAGTATAAATGAATACAGTTTCCACTGGTCCTGGGTTGGAAATCAGGATGGCCCTGTTAGATCCTTACAGAGTGAGAGGCAGAACAGCAGCCTTTCAATCACTGGCCGAGTAACATTAGAGCAGTTAAGCTCTGTCTCTGCTCTCTATCGTCTTACTTTGCTTAGCCAATACACTCATAAATCTCTCTAGTTTCACTAGATATGCACTGATTTCTGCTGTCTGTCTCAGAACCTGACCTAAAGCTCAGCAAAGCCAAAGAAAGTCTTTCCTCTGAGTTCAGAGAGTTTTGAACTAAGCTGTTGCGGGCTTACTACTGTTAGGTGCTGTACTAACAAGCAGCAACATACATTATGTTTTTACTTCTCCTTGCCTCATGTTATTGTCTTTGCATTCTACAAATCTGCCTCCAGCTGACATCATTTGTCTTAGATTGGAAGCAAACTAGCAACATCAGCTGGTAAGGGCCAATGATCTCTGCACCCAGCAGTCAACAGTTGGCAAGTTGTTGGGTTTAAAGCATCATAGCAAGGAAGAATTCAAGGAAAAATCTAATAGAGAAAAATAAGACAAATGTTTTGAAAGGCCAGTGCACAAAAGAAGGAGGCTAGCATCAGATGGGAGCTGTTTTCTTGATGCAGAATGAGAGCAGGTGGCTAAAATGAGGATATGTATCACCCTTGATTTTGTGTGTATTGAAGACAGGTGGGAGTGGGAAGGGAGGAAGCAGTGAGAGCATGTATGACCTCGGTGATGGCTAAGGGAAAATTTTGCCTTCTTGCAATAAGTGAGGTAGGCTGGAGTCTTGTATGAGGCCAAAACTTGATTGCTGCCTAATGCCACTTATAAGCAGGTACCCCAAAAGCAGGTCTATTTGAGAAAGATATATGTATGGAATTTTTTTTGTTGGTTCTTCCCCATAGGGATCATTTTACTGTAGGCTTGTCTCCTCAGCTACTTTTGTAACCCTAGTCTGTAAATTCATGCACTGTTGCTTAGTGGAGATGGAAATGACACAGCTAGAGATGAGCTTCCCCGCATCTGACTGTCACGCTAACTTCAAAGGTTGGCTTTGATTTTTTAAATGCTAATAGAACTAAACAAATTACCTAAAGTATGAACACACCTGGCATCAGTCTTAGGGATCTAATTATGAAGGCTTTTATGTGAAATAAATTGTTCTTACTTTTTGAAAAGTGGCTTTTAAAAATGTTCATACAAAATGCCAGGTGAGAGGATGCTGTGTTACCAGCTCAGCCTCTATGGAATTGGAGCTCTTTTCTGTTTCTTATTTGTTTTCTGTAGGACTCTGTACAAAAGTGGGCAGCTCACAGTCCTCAGCCGTCTCCGATCTCTGTTACTATATCTGCAAACAGTTTCACTGACCCTTGCTTTATGCTGGTGTAGTTAACTTTGGAGATAGGCTGAGGATGTTCAGGAAGTGAACTCTGGTAGCACTCAACCTTCGGATTTGCTGCCATGAGATATTTTGTGTATTCAGCGCTGAAATTCTAACATTAGCAAGCTTTCATGCCAGTGAAAATACATCTGCTCTAGGGTTACTGAGAGCAGGGAGCAGGTTATCAGACCCAGGTTTATTGGGAAGGACAGAAGAGGGTTGTAATCTTCAGTTTGGCACCACCTGCCATGTGCTAGCTCTCTTCATCATTTGACACCGTAATGTCTGTGGGCTGTATGGTTTCACCTTTCCGCGATGTAAGTTGTAACTGGGTCAACCCCAGGGCTAGCACAGCTAAAGAGAGGATCGATTTAAGAAACATGAATGCTTCCCTTCAGGTTCCAACAAGTAAGCATGTCTGTTTCTTCTTGGCATAAGTTGCTGTGTATTGGGGGTAAACAAATGCAATTCTCTTTCTGACTGTGTGAATGTGTGTTAAGTTAGAATAATCAGTCAGAAATCTATCTTCTCATGCTTGCGCAGGACTGAGGCCTCTGCACAATGAAAGCTACAAAAAGGGAGAGTGGTATAGGTATTGCCCAAAATGACTCCAGACCTGCAGAAGAAGGTACCTGTGAAGCACCATGCTGTCTGTAGGGCTCCATATCCCAAAGCTCTTCATGCTTTGATCAGACTGCGGCATGAGTGTCAAGACATGCATAGCCCTTCTGTTGGAATGTGGGTTGTGCTGACAAACCGATTTATTCTTTCATTCCCCACTTTCCCCCTGCCATTTTGATCATTCATCTGGCTGGTGAAATGCTTCATTTTCATGTTATTTTGCTGAGGAAAGGCAACAAAGAGTATAATAAATTCAATACATGGGCTATTCCATTGCTCAAGAGCTTGTGCTCAGATGCGCCTATGTAAGCGATGAGACCATTTCTTACCAGCAAGTGGCTGTTTAGGGTATTTTCACTGTTGCTGCTGGTTAATTATCAAAGTTAACTTGAACTGAGTAAGTTGACCGGTAACTAGAAAGACTTTCAGGATATGTTGTTGGATTTTCTGCTTAGGAGTTGTAGCACTATCAGTTTGTTGCTAGCCTCATAACTACTGGTCTGAGGAGATCACGATCTTGAAGGCTGGGATAGCCATAGACAGGTAGAATTTATGTTAGTTTCTGAACTACTACTAGGGATATTGAAAGGATAAATGACTGCAGAAAAATGCAGAGAGGAGCTATTGGTAGCTCAAGCAAACCATTCTGAGCTTTCTGGGCTCTGATAGTCAAATCTTAAGTGTCGAAATCATGTGTCTATAAGCTTGTAGTAGTGATGTCCTTCCTAGATCAAATCTGTTGCTTCAGGGTGGAAGCTGTGTATTGAAAACAGCATGTCAGGAGATCCGAATTTTCTCTGGTCTGGCTCTGAGTATCTCTCCAGCATGTCCTGGATAGTCTTCATTTCACAGCAACTGTGGTTAGAAGGAGCAGAACGAAAGCAAGGGTGTAGAGTCTGTCTAGGTGGTTGAGGCAGATCCAGAAACTAGAGCTCTAGCTGTTCTGTGTAAACAGGCTTTCTTAATGAGAGCTGAATTGTCAAAGATCCAGAGCACTTGCAGTCAGAGGTGCTGATCTTGCTTTGTATAGATGCTTGTGCTACACCCAGTGGTGCTGTTAGGAACAGGCTTATTACCAGAAAGTTTTCTCCTAGGAGCATCTCTTCTGTGGGCATGCTCATGGAAGATAACTTCAAATGAAGCACAAGGGTTTACATGAGAGAGTTAGCTGTGGAAATGACGCTCTAGAAAATGGGGGAGAAGTAAAGCTGTGGAGCCCATCTGTCCACTTCAAGCAAAAGGGTGGAAGTGAACAGCTGTGCTTTTATTTGTGACCATCAGTGTAGACATTTGTGAGAGCAGCTTTATTGATTTCCATGCAGCTGCTTGCAGAGTTGAGGCTCTCACCAACATCAGGATAGTGCAGTCAGGATCTTAGCAAACCAGCCTGCATACAGAATTACTTTTGCTCAGGACGTTAGCCAAGTAGCTGTTCTCCAATTTGTCCATAGTTGGTTTCAGTGAACACTTGGTTTGCTTAAGAAGACAGAACTATCAGATATATTTTAAGTATAATCTTGGATTTATTATTTTTTTTAGAAAAATAGTTTGCAATATCCAGTTTTCTCTATGGAAGAGTAGGGTGCCCTTGAACTTTCTTCAAAGAAGGGTAGTATTCTTTTGGACAAGATGAGGCATACGAATAAGAAACATTTAGGTTTGCATTTTTGCAGAATACAGCTTTCATACCTCCATCAATGCCAAATCCAAACGTAGAGTAACAGCTGTCTACAGATGTCAACTAATAGAGCTACTCCTTTAGTTCAAATTGTAGGGGTGGGAGACTTGGGGATTAGTGTCCTGGATTTGGACTCGAGTAATTCTCTCTTTTGAAGATGGTTATACCAACCTTGTCCCTGTCCTACTTATGTTTTACTTGTGTATTTACTAAGCCCCCAAACAAAGGGCTTGTTTGGTTGTATGTGTGTATGTATGTGGGGGGGGGGGTTGTTTCTAATAAGAGCTAGAAAGTTCCTTTTCACCAGAAAGCAGCTCTCTGAAATGCTTCTAAATTTTAGAGGATTGTGTCTCACTGTAAACCGTGGCACTGTTTTGTTTTTTTTTGCTAATGATACATGAAAGAGAATCACAGCAAAGGCTTGAAGCAAATTCACCAAATTATGAAAAACAGTTTATTGTCCATGACATAATGGGAATTGTTCATTTATACACTTGTAACACGAACAGTGCAAATATCTTCATTATTACATTTCAGACAGATGCTCACAAATTATCACTCTGATACAAATGAGCAATATAGCAATGGTGTATTCTGTTGGCCAAGTAATTCTGGGGAGGGTTGGAGGGCAAATTGTTCTGTGCATCATCTATAGATGGATTGGTGGAGCCAATGTGAGTAAGAGTTGAGCTTCTTACTGAGAGGCAACAGGTCCTTTGAGCCCTCAAAGTCAGTCCTGTCAAGAAAGCAGAGTAATAAGTAAAAGCAAGAGAAGTTGACAGGATTTCATTCACGGAAATTAACTGATTTCTTACTGTCCTAGGGCCAGGTTCTGCTCCACTGTTCTGCTCAGAGGAGTTTCTTTGGATTGACACAAGCATCCCTGTGGTGCAAACCTCTCTGATCTGGCTTCTGTGACAAGATGAAATGTTTACAACTGGCTTGGTGAAAGCAGGGAAGAGCAGGTAAAGCAGAGATGTGACATTCGTGGGTTTTAAGCACACATCTGATGCCAGTGATTTCTGAGGAGGGTAAAATTAATTGACTGTTTAGGATAGGAGGGTAGAAGTTACTTTCAGGAACCCTTTCCTCGGAGCTGAATTAAATCAGTTCTTCTACATATTTGTAGACATTATACATGAATACATAGACCACCTGCCTCTGGCTTTCTCTTACCATAGTAAGCAGTTAGCATCCCAGTCCACTCAGTGACCCAATTCTGTCCAGCTTGACACCAAAACAGCCCCTGGATAGGCCCTTTTTGCTTCTGCCTCGATACCTCCGGGGTAAAACCATGAGGTCACTGAAGAATCTCTGGACAGCATTGTCACCAGTGGACGTGCCCTCTGGCTGGTCCCTGGTGTTTCGAGTCCACTGGAACTCAGACTCTTGTTGATCAAAGACACCTGTTGGAATCATGTCATCTAGCTCCTGGTCCATCACTTCTGAAACCAGTGGATTCTCCAGATCCTCATTTAATAATTTGGAAAGACTCTGAAAGAAAGAAAAGGTAAACGGTAGGAAGGGAAGAGAGAGGAAAATGGGAGGGTTTCTGGGAACTCATTATTTTCATAAAAAGCAAGGCCAGTGCTAAGTTTGGAGAAACTTATTTTGATCTTGTATCAAAAGATGAAGGTACTGAAGTGATTTCTGAAGCCAGCAATGGTCACCTTCAGCTTCTAGCCAACCAAGCTCCTTGGAGCTCACACTGGAGACTCTCTCATAATGCTCTAAGATTGTATGGTGTTACTGTACTCTCTAGTTCTAAACTGACAGATTGCTGGCTAAGTCTCTCTTGGAGCTGGGATAAATTGGGAAAGACAATGAAAGAGGTTTAGTCAAGAGCAAATAAGGAACAAGAACAAATGGTTGCTACCTCGGAATAGTAAAAGCAGTTATGGAATGACAGGAAACATGCCAAAATTGGTGCTAGAAAGATTAAATGATTCTTCAGACTGGGAGGTTATATAATGTATAAGAACACCAAATCACTGGTTGGGTAGCTGAAATGTTTTTTCTTAACGGCTTGGAATTCCTACACACACAAATACACAAG